TGCCTTGACAGCTAAGGGGGTCAAATTTCATTGGGGTAAGGAGAAAGACGCTGCTTTTCACTCGCTCCGGGACGCCCTAGTCGGGGCTCCGCCATTGAGTTACCTCGATTTTACAAAACTCTTCTTGCTCGATACAGACGCAAGCAACACGGGCATCGGGGGCGTTCTCTCCCAGGTTATTGGGGGCGTGGAACATGTGGTTGCGTACGGCAGTCGGGTGTTGTCTCCGGCGGAACAAAGATACTGCGTTACCCGTAGGGAACTATTGGCAATCGTGTACTTCATTCAACAATACCGCCCATATCTGTACGGTCGGCGTTTCACCGTCCGCACAGATCATGCGGTGCTGCAGTATGCTTTGCGGGTTCAACAGCCATCGGGACACTTGTCTCAATGGTTGGAAATCCTTCAGGATTTCGATTTTGCGACTACCTATCGTAAGGGCACTTGCCACACCAACGCGGACGCTCTGTCCCGGTTACCACCCACCTCTGAGTGCGCTTGCCTTCTGGGTTCGGGGCGTTGCAGACCTCTGAATGTCAGCTCTAATTCGGTTTTAGCAGCCGCCGCCGATGCGCCTTCCGTTGCCGGTCCTATCGAGCAAGAAGGGAGGGATTCCTTGCTGGGGTTGTCGGTTGCGGAGTGGGGGCGCCTCCAAATGGAGGACACCTCCCTCCTCGCTTTGCGCCATCGCATCAGGGGAATTGTGCGGGGGGGTGAAAATGTCGACTCCTGGGGGTTGGTCCAGGGCCTTCTCATGCACTGGGACGGCAAATCCCGTCGACACCGGCTGGTGGTGCCTTCTGCGTTGCGGGGGAGGATCGTGTGGGCTGCGCACGAGCGACTCCTCCACTTAGGGACCCACAAAACCCTTGCCACACTCCAACTAGATTTTTCATGGCCGGGCATGGCAAGGGATGTGGAGGACCTGTTGGGGTCATGCACCCAGTGCGTGCAAAGGAAGCCACCAGCCAAGGGGTCTAACCCACCCTTACAGTCCGTAAAAGTTTCGAGTTAACGAGCTCGTCGCACTAGATATTCTGGGCCCATTCCCCGCTACGCCTAGGGGGAATAGATACCTGTTAACCGGGGTAGAATATTTTACGAGATGGCATATGGCCTGGGCCCTCGCCAATCAGTCAGCAGCAGCCATCGTGGAGGCCTTTGTCCAGGGCTATGTCCTCAACAAAGGTGCTCCGGAGCGGCTGCTGACCGATCAGGGTAAACATTTTTCGGGGAAGCTTCTCCACGAGGTGTGCGAGCTCCTGGGAACGAAAAAGATTCGTACCTCCCCATATCATCCGCAAACAGACGGAATGGTGGAGCGGCTGCATCGGACCATCACGTCCATGCTGTCCCAGCAGGTGTCTGAATCCCAGACCGATTGGGACCTTCATATCCCGGGGGTTTTGGCAGCATACAGGATGGCTCCCCATGCGGCGACCGGGTTTTCGCCCTTTTTCCTAATGTATGGCCGTGAGCCTAACCCACCTGTTCCGACTCAGCTGCGGATCTCCACGCCGCATAGTAAATCCAAATTGGCCGAACATGTGAAATTCAACGTCGCTAAATTGACAGAGGCGCGGGAGGCGGCCATGCAGAACTCTGAACTCCGCCAGAAGGCAAATGAGAGGCTCAGGCTGGCTCGGGTGCACGTGCTTCAGTGGAAGCCGGGTGACCAGGCGTGGTTGCACTGTCCCCAAGTCCCGCTAGCAACCTCGTCTAAACTGGTGCGGCCGTGGCGGGGGCCCGTGGAGGTGGTGCAGGTTTTGTGCCCATAATGTGTGCGTATCCGATGGAGGAAACGTCGGTGGTTTGTGCACCCCTCCAGGTTAAAACCGTTCGTTGCACCCCATGTTCCTACTTCACACACGCGTGGCCAATCATGTGAGGGGTCCACCGACTCCCAGAGTACGACTTCTCTGCTGTCATCTGACTTAACACCGACTGTTCCACCTCCAGGCGCACCAGGAGTGACACGCTCATGACCGCCAACCCCTCCCGGGGGGGTCGGGGGTCGCTCTGCAGCGGAGCCGGACACCTTCACACCCGGACTGCTAACAACCGCCACTGGCCAAACCAGAGGGGTCCCTTGTGACGGCCCCGCTGCAAGGACGCGCGCCAGAACGCATAGACTTTTGTGAGGCCGGCCGCCAACGCGACCCTTGCGAGCGACCGCCCTCGGTTCTTGTATATATGTTGTTTTTACGGGATGGGGTATTTATTCGGTCGGGGTGCGTCGTGTTGGTTTGTTCTTATTGTTGTTGTTGTTGTTAAAGATTTGTGAGGCACACACGGGTTCAAAGGGGGGGATGCATCTTTATTGCTATTTTGTTGCAGCCGGGACGGCTGCGAGCTGTACAGGGGGGGGTGATGTAGAGCCGTTGTAGCCGTTGTAGACGGCCTGATTTAGACTTGCCGCGGGTGGCAAACAAACACAATGGGCGTGGCTACGTCGGTACGCGGAGCAGGTGCTCGCAGCGACGTCCTCGCCGTACGCTGGGATCCCCCACAGCCCCTCCCCTCGGGGGGAGATGGCTATTTAAGGCGGTGAGCCGAAGGGCTCTGGGTCGAGTGTGTTAAGCTGTAACCAGTGAAGAAAGAAGACCAGCTAGACCGGCCCTGGAACTCCCTGGGATCGCTGTCCTTTTAAGGACCGACCAGGCAAGCCAGCGGCGTGGCCCCCAGAGCCCGGAACCGACGCTCTTCTAAGAGCGGGGTCTGGGTATTCGGGGTGCCGTAACCTAGGTGTAAGCTAGCTGTGAGCTAGGCTGTTGTGTTCCGTAGCTAGACGGGTGAAAGGGCCGATACCCCTTCAGTTACTGTAAGCTTCCGAGTTACGTGCTGGTGTTAATAAATAAGCGTGTGCCTCCAACTACGTGTCAAGTCTCCCTGGAACCATACTACATATCTAAGATCACCTCTTGACATGCCCCGTATATTCCCGAGGGCACTAGCATTGACCCGTTTTACCACTTTCAAGAACCTGGCGGCTTCAATTTAACTGCTCTATAAAGTCTCCATTGTACAGCGTGGGGGCAAGGATTTCATGCCATGTGGTTAGTCATGAAACGGGCGGCTAGAGTCCTCTCATCCTCTGGCTTGAGATGGCTGCCACCTATGGGTCAGATGATTGTTTGCCACTATTAAGCAATTGGTAATTAAATATTTTTTAAAAATTCCCTAAACAGTGTACAATTTTGGAAAAAAAATTTCATGAAAATTAATTGTCACGCACAACGAGTCTGTGTGCAAAATGTCAGCTCGATTGGATCACGGGAAGTGGGTTAAAAAACGACCGAAAGATTTGCACGGTCGTAAGCAAGCAAGCAAGCACGCAAGCAAGCAAGTGAACTTAATATAACGGATTTAAAAAAGAACAACAGGTACACATGCTAGAAGAGAACGACAAAGCACATGTTGTTTTACCCAGTGTTGGTTGACAATCCAAATACAAAAAAGGGGAGTACTGTTAAACGCTGGGGATGTCAACACCCGGTAAAGTAGAATAGTACCTGTCAAATAAGATGGTCCAAAAATGTGTAGTTAAATCTTTTTTGCATGGTTAATGACATCTTTCCAATGATTACTCAGTTTGTACCCATCATCACGGTTGAAATTATGTCTGTGTTTGTATATCTGGATGGCTTCGTGTACACACCTTTGATGGTAGCCAGAGGGTTTGCAGAGCACCTTGGTCTCGGAAAAAGACAATATCATGAGAGCCCACAGCGTTGTAGCAATGATCGGCAACGGCGGAAGACTCAATTTTGCCGTGTTTCAGATCTTACTTGTGCTCGCGGACACGATCAGAGACATGACGTTTCGTTTCCCCAATGTAACAATCACCACAGCTGCAACTCAGTTTATAGACGCCAGAATATTGCAAGTCAGGAATGACATCCTTCACAGATGGAATTAGATCACGGATTTTATGTACCGTACTGAATCGGGCTTGGATCTTATGTTTGTTTAGAATTTTGGAGATCTTTTTGGTCATGCCTTCTATGTATGGCAACGTGATAGTTTTGATTGGAGTTTCAAGTGGCTGTTTCTGTATGGTGGGAGAAACAGCTTGGCGGATGGTGCGGTCAGAGTATAATTTCATCCTGAGGGCCCGATGTACAAATCTAGAATACAGCCCATAGACTCAACACTGCCCATAGACTCAACACTGCCCATAGACTCAACACTACCCATAGACTAACACTGCCCATAGACGCAACACTGCCCATATACTCAACGCTACCCATAGACGCAACACTGCCCATAGACTCAACACTACCCATAGACGCAATACTACCCATAGACGCAACACTGCCCATATACTCAACACTGCACCAACAACGTACGCACAGTGCGTACACGCTACTCGACCACGAAGCGCATTCTCGTTCGAGCAGGACAGCGCCAACGGTTTGGAGTAACATCAACAACAACAACAAAAACATTACCAACAACATCAACATCATTAACACCATCATCAGCAACATCATCAACACCATCATCAACAACATCATCAATACCATCAACAACATCACTAGCAACAAACATTAACGGCGTAAAAACATCAACAGAAACATCAACATCATCAACCCGCCAGACCCTCCTCGCTATGTTCACGAGCGTCGTTGCTGGAGAATGTTGAATAAAACGACGACGACTCATCCCATCAGCACCACGACCTTTCTGGGAGCGTGGCAATTTTCGCAGCACTGGTTCAACACAAGCTCAAACTGTTGGGCAGGTTTCCACATTCAGTGTCTCATCAGAAGCAGTCAGGCTTTGCTCGAACCAAAGCTGGTAAACCGCCAGATGTTACTACTGTAGAGGTGCTAGACACTCAAGGATCACACCCTCCACCTCTCCCTCCCGAAGACACGAGTCCCCCCGTGGTTTTACGCGGTGCTATTCAACACAAGACACAAACAACAACAACAACACAAAGCCACCAAGCGCTAGCGGCACGGAGGAATGCATCAATCAATGTGTGCACTCACCTCTCTCGATCTCTCTCTGTCTCTGTCGGGAGAGAGGAGTAGGAGTCGTAGTTGGTGATGGTGGAGCAGTGTGTGTGGGGGGGGTAATGCTCGTGGTGCGAGTGATGATGGAGGTGGGGGTGGCGATGTGCGGGGAGCGGTGGCGCAGCGGTTAGCGCTGTTGCTGCGCTACGAACCCCGGCGACGCGAGTTCGATGTCGCGCTCACGACCAAAGACAATGGCGAATGTTGGAACCGGGTACTGGGCCTCCCCTAGGTCGACTCAGCCTCAAGTGAGTACCTGGTGCGGTGTGGAGCAAACATCGCCACTCGGAAGACAAAGGCGACCGGGCGTGGTGCTGGCCACCCACCCACTTGTGTGCCGTGCCGGCCTTCACAGGTGCTACTCGCTAACAGCACTTGCCCCAACAGTCTGTTAAGGCTACACGGGGGATCTTTGTCTTGTGCGTGATAGTGGTGGTGGTGGTGGTTGTGATTTTGAAGGGCGTGGGCTGGAGGTTTGCAGTTCGCGACCCTGACGCCTGCTCTCTAGAGTCTGCGTGTCTCTCTCCCCGTGGTCGCGTGGATTCTTAAAACGATAAAACAACATTTTTTTATTTCATCTGAACAGGTAAAGGCCCCAACTGAGCTGTGTAGCTCCTTTTCAGAAGCGACCTGGCTATCACAAATGATAGCTCAACAAAGTTGCTTATCACGTGGACATTTATAGCAGCTAAAATACTCTAAACACGCGTGATGTTGATTCTAAACGTGAAGGGAAAAACCGGAGGCACCTAGAGAAAAATCCACGCGACCAAGGGGAGAGAGACACGCAGACTCCATAAAGCAGGCGTCAGGGTCGGGATCGAACCCGCGACCTCCTGTGGACCAGGTGAAGTAGAATCAACATCACCCATGTTGGTAAAGTATTTGGTTGCTTCTAGATTTGAAGCTTTTGTGACTGCAAGGATTCATATTCTTAGGTTTTTTCGGTAAAGTCACGTAGGTAAAAAATTCAAATTAATAAAAGTAAATAAAATAAAAAATCACGACGTTTCGGAGGCAACACAAGCTTCCGTCTTCAGGTGGAACCGTCACAGCACGATAGCTGTATCAAGTGAGAGAAATTCCAAGAAACAGTATTTGTATATATACTGGTTGAGGGTGGGAGGAGCCAAGGTAGGCCCTGAATATTATTTTTGTGAGGTTCGGTGCGGCTGAAGCACGCTGTTAAGAATGAACCTTTATTTGTGTAAACTAGGTGCGGATGATGTAAAGGTGCGTGTAAAAGGGACTGAGACTTTTTGTTATGTAGAGATGATACGGCTGAAATCGCTGCCAGGAAATGAGTCTTTGTTGTGTAGAATGGTTGACTGAGCCTATTGTTATGTAGAGGTGGTGCGGCTGAAATCGCTGCCAGGAATGCTCCAAATATGTGTAGTTAAATATTTTTTGCATGGTTAATAACATCTTTCCAATGATTACTAAGTTTGTACCCATCATCACGGTTGAAATTATGTCTGTGTTTGTATATTTGGATGGCCTCGTGTACAAACCTTTGATGGTAGCCAGAAGGCTTGCAGAGCACCTTAGTCTCGGAAAAGACAATTTAATGAGAGCCCACAGCGTTGTAGCAATGATCGGCAACAACGGAAGAATCAGTTTTGCCGTGTTTCAGATCTGACTTGTGCTCGCGGACACGATCAGAGATATGACGTTTCGTTTCTCCAATGTAGCAATCACCACAACTGCAACTCAGTTTGTAGACTCCAGGGTATTGTAAGTCAGGAATGACATCTTTCACATATGGAATTAGATCACGGATTTTATGTACTGTACTGAATCGGACTTGAATCTTATGTTTGTTTAGAATTTGAGATCTTTTTGGTCATGCCTGCTATTATGGTAACGCAATAGTTTTGATCCCCTTCCGATTGGAACCACGTTGACAACCTGACTTCTGTTTCTGCTGACTCAATATCAGCCAAATGCAAAGATAACCTGATTTCTAAATTCAACCTCCTATCTAAGAAGAAACCAGAGCCACACATCACAAAGCTGGATGTCAACAAGACCGTTATTAATCAGAGTAACATCCCAATTTCTGACAATCTGAAGACGGTACTAGCCAGAGAACTAAATTTCGCTGTCACCCCTAAATATATACCAGTAGAGGATGTGATTTCTCAGATTGATGTAGCCCTCAGAGGCATAGGACACATCCATGCGGATGTAGCAAGAGCTGAAATAGCCACTATTCTTAAGAATGCTAAGAAACCCACTAGTAACATTAGCAAAAACGAACGCTCTGAACTCGCGGACCTAAAAAAGAGAGATGATATTGTCATCCTCTCGGCAGACAAGGGCAATGCCACGGTCATCATGGATAAAGATTCATACAACAACAAAATCCTGGACCTACTTAATAATGGGAGTTACTCCAAAATTAAAAACGATCCTACTAACAGCCTAACGACAAAAACTAACAAAATCATCACGAGTTCGACTTCCCTAATCGAACCAACCAAACGTCCCTCTCTAAAACCATCGGCGGCAAGACCTCCCAGACTCTATGGTCTTCCCAAGATCCATAAAGAAGGAACCCCGCTACGACCCATTGTGTCGACGATCAACTCTCCTACGTACAAACTGGCCCGGTTTCTATCAGATACTCTGCTCCCCTTCACATGCAAGACCTCTTCGGCAGTACTCAATTCAACCCAATTAGTCTCTATGGTCAAGGACATGGTACTATCTCCTGATGATATCCTCGTCAGTTTTGATGTAGTATCTCTGTTTACCAAGGTCCCAGTACCTGACACCCTAACAATAATTGAGGACTTGGTCCAACATGGATTGAATTCGGATGTACCTGCGCTGGTTAGGCATTGCCTCACCAACACTTATTTTACCTACCTTGGCTCCTCCCACCCTCAACCAGTATATGTGGGGGCCGTTGGCCCCCGGGGTCTCCCCCGCCTGCATCCCCTATTCCGTTTGCGTTACCGTACCGCCCTAATACCCGCTCGGGTTTCACCGGCATTCAAACGCGACGCCCCTACTCATACAGCCTCGCGCAGCGCTCCCACGCTGCGAGCGTACGTACACAGCCCCACACGGTGCTCGTCTCAACACTGAATACTCACGTTATGATCGCGCACCTGTATCATACACGTAGTGAACGTACACACACACCCACACACAGCTCCGCGTGGCACCCACTTCCACGTCGAATAACCACGTTACAATTGCGCACCTGTATAACGCTGATCATACACGTGGTGAGCGTAGGCACGCACACCCAGCTCCGCGCACTCCAAACACGACACCTTCTCTTGCGCCGCTCTGCGCAGCGCTCACATGTGGCGAGAAAATGTATACTCAGCACCACACGCGTTCACACTTCTCAGCGAGATCACACGAGGCCACGATCAGCTATTAATGATTTATTATCGGCTGCCTGTGAATTGTTGTTAAATCAGTGTGAATCGACGAGCCTGGCCTACTCTGATACCCCTGGGTCTATTCCCGATTTATCTGCTTACGATACGCTTTTACCTTCTTACTCACGGTTTGAAGCACTCGGCGTTCCGTGGGTTTTCCTCGATGCTCACCTCGACACGTCTCACGGACGTCCGGATGGCCTTGCTGGGAGCTGCCTCGAACGCTGGCTTCTTGGAGTGAGAGACCTCTCTACCTCGCTACGTTCGCTTTTTATCCTATCTCCCCGTCCCAGGGCCCCGCCTCCTGAGCCCTTTTCGCTCCTCCGGCGCTTACGCGCGGCGCGCACTCTAATTAGTCCCATTCTCATGCCCCCATAATAATAGGTGGTCGGCTTGACTGCGCCGGTGCACGGTGCCTTTGTTATGTCAATCAGCCATCTCGCTCCTCCTCTGCCTGCCTCGTCGATACGTGTGTGTGTGGGGGGGTGCGTTTCAACCGTGGGGGCTGGGTGGCCCCCGCCGTGACCATGTATTCTCAACTCAGGTTACAGCGCCACGGTGCGAAGTAGCACCGGGGGAGGTCGTCCAATTCTCTGGCCGCCGGAAACCGTGAAGATTATCCCGATAAGGGCTTCTCGGGTTAAAACCGGTCAGCCAGGTGACTTCCCCTCGGAGCTCTATGGGTGGGGGGAATGCGTGCGGGTGTGTTTATGTGAGGTGAGGTGAGGAGGAAGCGGGGTCGGCTCCGTCACTTGGTGGTGGCGAGGTCGGGAATGGGGCGCCCGCCGAGCGGCTTCGTGGCGGCGGCATCACACATATATACAAAGACTGTTTCTTGGAATTTCTCTCACTTGATACAACTATCGTGCTGTGACGGTTCCACCTGAAGACGGAAGCTTGTGTTGCCTCCGAAACGCCGTGATTTTTTATTTTAATTTACTTTTATTAATTTGAAATTTTTACCTACGTGACTTTACCGAAAAAACCTAAGAATATTTGGTTGCTGCTATGAATATCCACGCGACGACGATGATGATGGCGTTGAGCCCACGTGGTTGAGCTTGCTATCATTTGTGATCGGGTCGCTTCTGAAAAAGCTCAGTGGAGCCTTACACCTGGTCAAATACAAAATAGTTTCTCGTTTGGTTTATTCAACACATTGGAAAGATTACGCGTGGTAGGGTGGCACGTGGTGACGGGGTGGGGAGGTGGAGGTGAAAGAGTGGGGGGAGGGGGGCTCTCATAGTGAGTAGTGGGGGGAGGGGGGCTCTCTTCGTGAGTTGTGGGGGGAGGGGGGCTCTCTTTGTGAGTAGTGGGGGGAGGGGGGCTCTCTTCGTGAGTTGAGGGGGGAGGGGGGCTCTCTTCGTGAGTTGTGGGGGGAGGGGGGCTCTCTTTGTGAGTAGTGGGGGGAGGGGGGGCTCTCTTCGTGAGTAGTGGGGGGAGGGGGGCTCTCTTCGTGAGTTGAGGGGGGCTCTCTTCGTGAGTAGTGGGGGAGGGGGGCTCTCTTTGTGAGTAGTGGGGGGAGGGGGGGGCTCTCTGAGTGAGTAGTGGGGGGAGGGGGGCTCTCTTTGTGAGTAGTGGGGGAGGGGGGCTCTCTGAGTGAGTTGTGGGGGGAGGGGGGCTCTCTTCGTGAGTTGTGGGGGGAGGGGGGCTCTCTTCATGAGTAGTGGGGGGAGG